GATGTGTTTGTTTTTGTTTAATAAGGTGTTTGTGTACAAGTATGCTGGTTAGTTATCCGCGTAGATTTTCTTTGGTGTTACATTTTATCATGCCGTATAGTGGTGCCATTCCTTGTTCTGTCACACAGCGGAAAAAAGCCAAGGTAGACCATATCCATCTGATAACTGCAAGGTTAGAAAAGAGAGACAATGACACAGACACAAGAATGTAAAGTATGTGTGCTGAGGTTTTGGTCTATGGGAGAGTAAAATACTTTGACACATGATAGTGGCAAAGCTGGTGACAAGAAAGGAAAATGGGGGAGTGAAAAAACTAAAATCCAACATTTTTTTTTACATCCCAATGCTATGCTCATGCTTAGCTTAACTAATTTAAATTCATCAATGGTTTGAAGTTATTTTTTACACAATTAAATCACATTATTAAGCATACAGGGGTGAAAGAATGAGGCACTCAATAACAGCTGTGTGTGGTGTCTGTCTGCATAATGCACCACTTGCTTGTCATAAGTGAGGTTAAATAAAGGTCATTTGGTTCCATGACATTGGCATGTCACTGATAGAGTTACAGGACGTGTCCTGGACAATATGTAAAGGACACTCATGCATTTCTTTTTGTGAAGGTAAGAGGTTTCTATCTGCAGACCTTGTTTTCTTCTTCTCTGGGCTCCTATCTATATTAAAGAACATTTCAACGGCAATAAGAAACCACAGTAAAGTTTATCCTCGAACGGGTATGAAACTACTCTGAAACTACCCAAGGTCAATGTAGCATACTATTGTTCTTTGACAGTGAAGCTGTTGAAAGTCTGGTTCTTTTCTTTAAATACAGGTTGTAAAAGTAAAACAAGCTCTCAAAAATAACATTTACAGCCGCAGGACTTCATTACAGTTCGTACAGAACTAAGAAAGAAGGCATTTTCTGCCCCGTCTTCATGGACTAGATTACAGAAGCTCTCTCGATCGATTTCACTTGCAGACTTTAAAAGACATACAAATGACCTTGTGAAATCATCACTGGGAACTAGTTCCTGTTTTTGATATGACTGTGTAAACATTAGACAATTCTTTGCTCTTTTTATGTTTTTTTTTTTTTTATTGTTGTAATTTTAATATGTTGTCTCTCTTGTATTTGAGACATTGAGTCTCAGTGGGACTACCTAATAAATAAAGGTTAAATAAATAATGTCAACTACTTGTTTTGGAGACATAATGTTTTAAAGCATGGCATAAACCAAAATGTTTATGAAATATTTATGTTATGTGTTGATTTTTGGTGAGCAAAATTTAGATTTCAAATCTCTCAGGAGCTCTCCAAAGGCGAACAAATCCAAATCCTCCTTAAAAGCACAAAAAAATAGAGGCTGTATCAAAAAGTTGTAAAAGCTATAAAACTGATCAACTGCCCCACAACTAACCCAACTCGCCCAGTGCTACTAGTTATTACTAGTCTACTACTAGTCATTTCTTTCGATATAATGGAACAAGTTAAATAGTTTCATTGTATTTGACAAAGGTCATCTTGAGAAGACACACTGAATAGTGGACACACACGTGTGCCTCTGTTATGGTGGTATTTGAGAGTGTTTTTCCATAAACAGGAGAAAGAAAGGTGTGAGGACAGGTAAGCTTACGTAATAGTTAGAAGTCAGACCTAGAAATGTGTGTAATAATAATCCTTACACATAATTATCCTTACAATGATATTGATTGTTATGATAACATTATAATGATATCATAACAATAACAATAAAAGCCCAACAATAACAATAAAAATGATAAAGCCCTTCAAAATAAAGTCACAACATGGTTTATACGCAAACAGAAAGTCATTCAGATTTACTAGTTGGTGGCCACGTGAGAGTCCTGCGTGTTTAGACAGTTAGATTTAATCCCAGCCAGAGCTAAGAAATAAAAAGTGAGGAACATAACCTGACTGGCTCCTAAACATATATCCATCATTTTCCTCATTCATCTTTTAGTCATGCTAACACTACGGGCTAAGATGAGACACTAGAATATGACAGAAACCTATCGTGGTGCGGACCGAGGTGCACATGAGCAGCTGAATCAACACTTTGCTCCAAACTACCTCACTGTATCAACTAAAAGTTGAGGGAGAATTCTCTCCTGCTGATCTCACTCTCTCTCTCTCTTTATTTCTCTCTCCCTCTCTGTCTCTGTGTGTGTTTTGCTGGGCTCGTCAGTCAGGTGTCACAACACAGCAGAGTGAGTGAGGATCCCAGTCAAAAGCAATCAAATGGCAGGGTAAGTGCTGTATTACTAATGAGAGACTTGGTCCCTGTTTTCACGCAAACGTGGCATGTTTTATGAGTAGCAATGTTTTAGGGAAGTTGGAGAGAACTTTAACAACATTAAGTTTAGAAATAAATGGTTAGTTTATTGGAAATGTTATGAGCAGCTTGCTTAGACTGACATGAACGTGGAAAGTTAAAAAAAAAAGCAAATACAAGTAGGTAGTAGCTGGTCCTGAGACAAACTATAATCACCACCAGGGGGAAGCAAAACACAAGAGGTCGCCAAAGGAGATTTACTTCATATCAACAGGGAATTAAGTCCATGCTGAAGTGGCAAAAACTGCAGTTCAACACAGACTCTTGTGATAAAAAGTTAAATTTTAGAGGATTCAAAAGCATATTTATTCACTGTAAAAAGGCCTTTGTATGGTTTAACCATTCATAACAAAACTGAGAAGGGTGGTTTATTTATTTATTGTTATCATCATCATCATCATCATCAGTAGTAGTAGTATGTATGTATGTATGAGGCCACCTCTGGCTTCATTTCATGGCTCAACAGTTTTCTCTGGTATCTACTGCCTACTGTTATATGCTAGTAAGTCACTCTGAGAGTAGTTCAGATAGTTAAGCATACTGTAACTCAAATTTGTGTATAAAATGTGGCATGTGTAAGACTAATGCAGACATAACGCAGTAGAGTTCCTTCAGGAAAAGTAAGGCAAGCGTTACTTGCCTTGTCACATTTAGAAATAGACATTAATTAAATAATACCGAAAAAAGGGATCTCTTTCCTTTCATTTCATACAATGCTGTCATAAAGCTCCTTGCCTGTTTACATCCATCCGTTACATTATTGCCATCTGTATGGTGTATCCATCTCTTGTTAACAATGGCTTGAA